TGTGTGTGTGTGTGTGTGTGTGTGTGTGTGTGTGTGTGTGTGTGTGATAAAATAGTGTGCAATTATAAATCAATCAGTCTCTTTGCTCCTCGCGCCTTCCGGAAATAAACTGACCTGTTTTCATGTTTTTTTTTAATTTTTTGAACCATTGTCTTCAGTCCAGATGGACCCAAACTGTTCCTCTCTTTGTTTCATGAGACCTGCGGGGCCGCCGTGTCCGTGACCGTGAGCCCCGCGTCCGCGCCGCCGCCGCCGCCGCCGCCGCCCGCCTGCGCGCTCCCGCTCATGATGACGCTGGTCTTATTGAGGTCAGAAACGTCCAAATGTCCGCCGTCCTCCTCCTCCGCCTCGTCCGAGTCGCTGGTCCGGGCCTCGCTCTCACACTCGGACTCCAGCGGCTCTTTGGGCTCCTCGCTGCCGGCCTCGGACAGACCCTGGTCCGGCTTCTCGTCCTTCTCCTTGTCCTTCTGCGCCTGCGCCTCTTTGGAGTGTCTCCACTTCATGCGCCTGTTCTGGAACCACACTTTAACCTGGAAACACACAGTTAACCCGCGTTAGGTTCAACCTGTGTTGTTGTTTGATAAAAGAACAAAAACTTTGATTTTTAAACTTTCAGAATAAAAGCATCATCTGAAAAGGAAACAAGACTTGTGAGACCTTTTTAAAAAAAATGATCTTATGAAAAACACATTCAGCTCTTTATTCGTGACTTTGCTAATTAAAAATTCATCTGGTTCTTCAAAGGAGGCCTGTCTAAAAATAAAATGCAGGTGTCAAAATGTTGCAAAAAATCGCGTCAAAAAAGAGAAATAAAAACCACAAATTATAAAATAATCATCAGAAAAAAAAACAATGTGTGGTAAAATACTGATTGTTTTAAWGTTATGAAATTAGATTTAAAAAAATAGCTCAGTGTTCCTGTCAGCCAATCAGCTTCCAGTGTGACGCAATCAATTAAAAGCCTCATTTACAGCCTCTTGAATATAAACAATTTTGCTCAGATTTTAATTTTGCAATTCAAATTTTTAATTTAGAAAAACAACATTTTGGCTAGAAACGATTGTTTTCTTTTTTGTTTTTAATCAAGTTTGCAATTTACAATAATTGTAACATTAAAATCTCATTATAGGAACAGAAAAAAAAACATCATTTRCAGTTTATTTAAATTTATTCACCACAACATGCATCAGCAACACATTTCATGTGCAGAAAAATTCCCCAGCGTTAACGGGAACTTACAAATGACTGAGGAACTGTTATAAAAACTGTGAAGATGTTGTATCAGATTACTACCAGAATGCATTTTCATCTGCAAAATGAGACGGACTGCACAAAAAAATATAAAACTGTGTCATAAACTCCACGTCTTTATCACAGAGGAAACATTTGAAGGGAAATAAACTCGTGCAATCAGGTCCCAGAGTTGTAAAGTAACTAAGTACAAATACTTTGTTACTTAAGTGGAAATTTTGCTTATCTGTACTTTACTTGAGTAATTATTTTTCAGCGTACTTTTTTACTTTTACTC